AAAAAGAAGGCGAGCACGCTGAGAGGAAGAGCATAAAAGCAGCCTTTTCCTTCTCCGTCTTTTTCTCCAGGGAGGTACGTGAGCCAGTCTACCATGGCTAAACTGCAGCAAGGCACAATACTGCAGAGATTAACCCTAGTCCATATCTCCAGATCACCGGCACGCCTACGAGACACCGAGAGGCTTCGAGAGTGTGTAATAAAAGGATTAGAGCGTGAGAATAGCCTGAAAGGACAGACAATGGAGGGCAGAGAAAACACTGGAACATCACAGAAGCCACACCATTTAGATGACATTACCAAGAACAGAAGATTATCTAGAGCAGATACGGTTAAACATTATGCTAATGAAGACATTGGTTCTTATTTAAGACATTGTTTGACTGAAATTTACATGAAATTTAATTGGATTCATCAGAAATGAGAGCGTGAACGATTTTTTACAAGTTTCCAAATCTGATCCTCTTCAGCACTTGATCAGATGATCTGATGAGTGTAAAAAGATGCATTTATTTTGGCTTATTATCAGATTATTTAAGCAACTGATGCAGACCTGAATGCCTGAATGCTTTTGAGTTTGCATTGAAGTATTGTTCACCTGCCTTCAGAGGCCACTCAGCTGATAATTAGGCACTTGTGTCCAGGTTTTGTCAGGAACACTTCATATGAAGTGGACATTTCAATACTTCATTCAGGGCAGCAGGTGCAGCCGGAGGCTGCGGTGCATCAACTGCAAAGCTATAATTTTAAAAAGCACTTATATTTAGCAGTATTTAGCATTTTTGAACAACTTTTCAGAGACATGTTATTATTTAATTATCTTTTTGGTCTTAATAACCGACCTGGCATGACCTGGCACCTCGTCATCGGTCTGACCTGCTCACCCCTTACGTGTCTACGCGCACGTTAAGGTCAGCTGATCTGTTGGTGCTCTGCACTCCTCAGATGTGCTACAAATCTAGGGGTGAACGAGCATTTGTCCATGCTGCCCCCAAGCTGTGGAACTCACTTCCCATTATTGTTTTAATGTGTTTCTTATCGTTTTTATCTGTTATTACTGTTCAGTATTTTTGATCCTCATTGTTTTTGCCTTTATTCAGTTTTAATTGACTCTGCCTGTGCAGCACTTTGGGCGGCTCCCATCCTGTATTTTACAGTTTATAGAAATAAACTGGAATGGTGTGGTAGATGGTATATTTAAATCTCTCTAAATACATGATTAAAAATATTTAAATGCATCCTGAATGTATTCACAGAGCATCACTTTTTCCATGTGCTGTGATGTTACAGCCTCATTCCAAAATGGATTACGTTCACTTTTCCTTTTCGTTTCTACAAAGTCTCGAGCCAAATGTCGAGAAATATAATAATAAATGTTTTTATCTATTATTTAACAATCAAAGCTCCAATCAGCTTTTCTTTTCAAATCCAGCACAAGACCAACAGAAAGACAAATTACACAAATAGTCACAGATCCTCTCAGATACTCAGTTTAGAATCGCTACAGCTGCATTTGCATTTGCTGGTTTGGTCCTCTCAGCCGTTCTGTCCCTAATGGCTTAATCAGGACTTCGCTAAGATATCAGCACATCACGACCATTTTCTCAATGATCAGTGCCAAAAGGCGCCCAAGGACATGAAAAAAAATCAGTTAATATGTTTTATTCTGTCAAAGTCCGTTTCGAGAGGCTGTGCGATGTAAAACGTGGTGTTCGGTGACCAGAGGACACACCATTTTCTATGACAGTCTGTAGGAGAGCTTAAAGCAGTGTAAATGAAAATGTGGATTTCCACCACATTTTCCACACTGAAAGTTTACAAACAGCTATTTTAAAGCAGCATCCTGGCTTCTTTCATTTTCCTTCTATTCTACTCCACCAGCAACTCTTCCAATATTTTAAAATGCTGGTGTTTTAGTGACGTCTGCTGATGTAATTTCCAACTTAGTTACAACCAATCAGCATGAGTTAACCACAAGTCCCGCCCAGCGACTCTACTGGATCATTTCTGAGTTCACACACCAAAGCAGGTTGCTTGAAATGACCCAGAAAGCGATTTTTTTGAGCCGGCCTGATAAAACGAAGACACTGTTGTGAACATCTGGTAAAATGACTCAGAAGTTCCAGCTGTGGAAACAGGCCTGTGGTTTGACAACACTCTGTTTGAATCTGGTAACCCAGGACGCAGTCTGACTGATAAAACAGAGAAAAGCTGCTATGAACACATTAAAAAACTACTGTTTTGTAAACTTTTCAGAAATGTTCATGCTCAGAAATTAAACCAATTGGGCACCAAAGAGCAATGTGGGGATGAAAAAAAAATTATGAAAGCATTTAATCTTTTTTATTCAAAACACCACAAGATGTGCACGAGCTTTCAGAAGGGGAAGAAGTGAACGTCGTTTGACGCAAAACGTTCACACACCCGAAGCGGCTGAAACTGGCGAAGGGAGACCAAGCGTTTGTTTCTGACGCGATGGGGCTCCCAACGCGTCGGGAGGCGATGCGCTGTGCCAGAGCGTCGCTTTCCAACACCTGCGGTAAAATGGAGATTTTAACGAATTGTGACCTTTACCGTCTCGCTGTTTAACCTTCCCCTCAAAACTTTGTTTCTTGTTGTATCGTTCCTCTCAAACACGGTTAACACACTTAGAACAAGAAACTGGGTTAAGGTTATGGGGGCGAGGGGAAGGTTAGAGGTTAGATGTTAAATGTCGGTGAAATGTCCGTTTTACCGCGGGAGTCGGAAAGCGACGCTCTGGCACAGACGCTTGGTCACCCTTCGTCAGTTCCAGCCGCTTCAGATGTGAGAATGTGTTACGTTTGAAAGGAAAGACCCAAAAGAGCATGCTTGAAACATTTTACTGCAAGTTATGTTGTTTATGACACTGCAATAAAAATGTGATGAATGCGTACATCGAAGACGTTGACTTTATTTCTGTTCAGGGCATCAGTTTGGGGACCTGCTTGGTTTCACCTAAAGCAAACCCACCAGACTTTATAATGTTCCTTTATAAATATAACATGTCAGTTATGAGCATTTTATTTGCACTCCTAATGGTGAAAACAAACACTTCACTGCTGAACTGCAGATGCTGCATGAAGATTTCTCAATTAGATTCTTTATTCAAGTATTTGATTTTATCATTTCTTCACACAGACAGGACCACTGCTGAAGATGCCCTCATCAACCAGTTAGACAGTCATTGACCTTCTCAGTAGATATGTGATAAAAGCACTAATTGGTTCTGTTGTGTAAGCTTTACTCCTCTCAAGTGAGCATGTACACACATCCATTATGCATGCAGTTGGTAAAATGACTCATTCTTTCTATTCTTTGCCACCTTTCTCCCACAGAGCGATGAGTCAGAATCCAGGAGAAACCAGGGTGAATAGTAAAGGTTAGCACTCTCCCTCATCTATGATTAGAACACCACATAATCATGACATCATGGCAGAACTGAAAAACTCTGCAAATGTTAATTTACCTTTAAAAGCATGTTTTAGAGTAAGTCTTTGCAGCTGTTTTGGGAGCTCAGCGAGAGAATAATGAGGTGAAATTACACACAAAATCACTTTTTTCCAAGAGTCGGAGTAATGACACCTCCTACTCTCAGATCCATATACCTGGTGCCATGACAACTTGATAGCTGTTTCTACGGCACTGAAATTCTGAGTGAAAGTAACACCTAACATTTTAATTCCTGCTAACAAATCATCATTTTATTCCTTCATCATCAGCAAGATAATTTCTCTAAAATGTGTTGTCTCACCGCCAAAACCTCTAACCTCAATAACATGAAAGATATGAGCAGCAAATTTACCATGAGGAGAAAAATGCCACATTTGGATCTCTGTGGATTTTCTTTTGATTTAAAATACTGCAGGAAAGGGGTGTGGAAGACTATTTTCATATTCGGCCTGCATCATCATCATCTTTATTTCTGTAGCACCTTCCACCACCTTCTCGGAGGCCCAAGTTGCTTTACACCAGCACAGTACAACAAGATAAAAATGGACAAAAGAGAGACAGTGTATAAAAAAATAATTTAAAAAAAGACTAAAATACAAAAAGTAAATAAATAAAACCCCAGGTATGACCTGAAAACTCAGGGGAACTTGCCACCAATAAAACAAAGGAACTCAGGGAAGAAGGCCAATCAATAAAAGTGTGTTTTTAAACAAGACTGGATGAAGGATGCCTGCTTCACAAGCAACGGAAGCCCCACAGGTTTGGGGCCATCACAGAAAACACCTGGTCACCCTGCCAGTTGTATTTAGAGTGTGGGACTTCCAGAAGGTCCCTGTCTGGAGAGCACAGGGCCTACGAGGGGGCTTTTCTATGGAACAGTGCAGAGAGATAGGTTGTGGTGCCCTATAGGGCCTTATACATGGAGCAAGATCTTAAACCTAACCTGATACTTAATTGGTAGCCAGTGAAGTTGGGCCAGCACACGAGTGATGTGCTCTCACCTCCTAGAGCCAGTCAGGAACTGTGCAGCTGAATTTTGATCAAGCGGAAGAAGAGCAAGTTCACCCGAACTCGCACCAGCATTTATAGCAACGCAATAGTCCGGGCGCGACAATACAAATGTATGTAGAACTGATTCCGAATGAGCCCTCAACTGCATTAGCTTAATCTTAGGGATACCTCAGAGCTGGAAAAAACAGGAGCCCACCGCCGTTGATAACTACTGACTAATCACCCGTTGGGCCAATAAAGGGAGGTCAACATCAGGGGTAGGACAAACTCAGAGTGACTGATTACAATCAGAAATAATAAATAAATAATGCTTTTTCAGTGAAGTTGACCTTTGACCGATTAAGCTGTCATGAAATAAATGAATGCTTCATGGCTAAGAGTGAAATTTTGAAGCCAGCTCCTGTCTGATTTCCAAAGAATAGATAGTTATAATCTGTTTTATTAAAGGTTGAGAACAACATTGCATGCCAGAAGAAAACAAGCAGTAGGCGTATCTGTGTGAAGTGTAAAAACTCTTACCGAGCCATCCAGCGCCAGAGTTGGGGACACACATATCTGTCTCGGCACTTGGCAGGACAAAACCCACTACAAACACCTCCACACCATCTGACATGAGTGCCAGGCCAAGTACGAAGAACAGCTGCCACTGGAATCTCCCGTGACCACACTCCTGCATGATCAGCTCATACTGCTGAGCCAATTCCTCCTCGTCTGCCTGTCTCTCATTTTCCAGCTCCTTGCGACTCTTGACGCTGTCAGAAACCGGCTGGCCAAGTGCCACTTGACCATCCTTTGTCTTCCCCTCATTGTAGGCCGGCACACCTTGATACTCTCCCTCGTAGATCTCGTCTTCATCATCATGGCCCTCTGTTGCATCACTGGACGCCCCCTCTTCATCATTGGCGGCGTTATCAGCATAGTGACCATCTGGCTGAGTGTAAGTGTTGTAGTTGTTTTCCTCCTCATCCTCGTTGTGAAAGCGGTTGTAGCTGCGATGGGCTGAATATTCATCTGAGGCTTGATCAACAGCTTTGCTGAAGTTCTTGGCAGCATGCCTTTTGGCTTCCTTTGCAATGTCCTTGGCACCTTTGGCCAAGGAAGCCCTGTTGTTTGGTGCTTTATCCATTTTGGCAACGGGGCAGTTGGCACTGAATGACTTTTACTTCAGCTCTAATACACTTCTATCGCACCAGGTGCTGCAAATTTAAAGTGCCTATTTTCTCTGTTCTTGAACTCCAAGACACAAAGAAATGGAAAGTAGTTTTTCAGGCCTGAAAAGTCAGCCAAATGCCATAAAGATAGAGGCTAACTGATAACGCACATTTCCATTGAATGGGCATAACCAGACAGTGCTAAAGTGGGGACTGTTGATCTTGGATGGTGAAGCTCCTCAGTCTGGTCAGTGGAGGGAATCTTTAGCCTGTGGGGACAAAAAGAGACAAGCAGGTTTAGACTGAATCAAAGCTGTCTGCCACCCATAACAAACCAGAGTGAGTCTCACCAGAAAACTCCAAAAGAGAACTTTTACACCCAATTACCCAAAGCTAAAAGACAGAAGTCAGTAAAGGGGATTTGACTGAGAATTAACTGTGGAGGTCACTGACCTTGTAAATTGAAAGCAAAAACAAAAGTCTTGCATAAAGCTTTATTCTTCACAGTTTCAGGGTTCTGTCACTTTAGGTGTGTTTCCATTACCGAAACTTCAGGGTAAGTTTACAGGAACCTCACGACATGTGCGTGTCTCCACTTGAAAGGGCCAGCCGTACGATTGTTTTCAGGAACCTTCTGAGTGCCTGATCAGGTACTTGGACTGGCTCGGTAAAAGGCCTGGTGCAGTTGGTGGGTGGGAATGCTGCCGACTGACTGAAACTCAGATGTACATGATGTCCACTCGGTAGGAAATAGGAAATGCATACGGGGTGGAGAACCGGCATTTAGGCGTGTGTTTTTCACCAATTGATGACGCAACTCCCAACGCTGTGATCCCAATGTGCTGTCATTTTAGCACATTCCTTACAGAGCCAAACTGTAAATGGAGACAGGACAGCTAAGAGGACTGGGCCTTTGGACCTCCTGGGCACTTTCCCCCTCGCTGCATTTACCCTGAAGTTCCGGTACTGGAACCCCCCCCCCCCCCCCCATTCAATGCAAATAAGTTGTCGCTGGCCTCGCCCACAGACTCCTTGATTGGTTACAGGTGCGATGAGGAGCTTTGATATGCAGAAGGGCTCAAAGTAGAAAAGCTGTTCCTTGACGTCAATGCCAATGGATGGTTTTTAATCATGTTTGGAGTGTTTATAAAGGCAGACTACATGGCAGGACAACAGGATGTGAAAGGGACGATTCCATAATCTGTCTTCTTTGACAAGCTGTGGCCATCTTGGATCAACTTGACATATAAAATTAGTCAGTCGTAGGTGTTCATCTAATTATTACTTTCTGTCCAGCCAGCATACATAGGTGGGCCCTATATTGACATGCATGGTCTAACTGTATGGGTCCTAACATGGTTTGTCTGCAGTTTGAATGGTGGCTCCACAGGGTTGACCCAGGACTACCTGGAGGAAATACATCTGTAGGTTGGCCAAGGAATGCCTGGGTGTCCCAGCTAAAGAGCTGGCGGGCGTGGCCAGGGAGAGGATTGCCTGGGAGGCCTTACTTGGGATGCTGCCCCCATGACCCAGACCTGAATAAGTGGAGAGAGGTGAGGTCAGACTCCACAGGATTTAGCCCACAAATATTTTAACAGGCCAATGTCGTTGTCAGCGTCGTCTCCCTCCGCTTATCCGGGTCGCGGGGGCAGCATCCTAGCTAGGGAGCTCCAGACCTTCCTCTCCCCGGCCACCTCCACCAGCTCCTCCGGCAGGACCCCAAGGCGTTCCCAGACCAGATTGGAGATGTAACCTCTCCAACGTGTCCTGGGTCGACCCAGAGGCCTCCTGCCGGCAGGACATGCCCAAAACACCTCCCCAGGGAGGCATCCAGGAGGCATTCTGACCCAACACATTCTCACACCCATGGCGTCAAAATAGGACGAATGTGACCAAGCATCAATATATGATGAATCGGGACGCCCCAGCGCGTCAGGATAAGACGATTAGGGACATGGTGGGTCACATGGCTCCGCTGGCGTCACTGTTTGACGCGCGCGGTCATACAGACATTATTCAACTATTTAACCTTCCGCTCACCCCAATCCTAAGCTTAAGGTCCATAAACTGTCATTGCCCACGTGAGCATTGAAGTCCCCCAGCAGGACAATGGAGTCCCCTGATGGAGCACTATCTAGCACTCCAAAAGGGTGGGTACTCTGAACTGATATTTGGCCCATAAGCACAAACAACAGTCAGGACCCGTTCCCCGACCTGAAGGCGCAGGGAAGCTACCCTCTCGTCCCCCGGGGTAAACCCCAACACACAGGCAGAGAGTCTTGGGGCTAACAAAAAGCCAACCCCAGCCCTCCGCCTCTCACCCAGAGCAACTCCAGCAAAGGAGAGTGTCCACCCCCTCTCAAGGACTTGGGTTCTAGAGCCAATGATATGTTTCGAGGTGAGTCCAACTATATCTAGCCGGTACCGCTCAACCTCTGCCACAAGCTCCTGCTCCTTCCCCGCCAGCAAGGTGACGCTCCATGTCCCAAAAACCAGTTTCCATGTCCGGGGATCGGACGGCCAAGGCTCCCGCCTCGGTCTGCCACCCGATCCACACTGCACCGGACCCTTCATGTTCCTCCTGCGGGTGGTGGGTCCACAGTTAATGAGCCCATGTATCCGGTTCGGGCTGGGCCCTGCCGGGGCCAATGGGCGAAAGTCCGGCCACCAGGCAGTCGCTCATGGGCCCCAACCCCAGGCCTGGCTCCAGGGTGGGACCGCGGTAACCCTCTGGGCTGGGTACTCCGACTCTTTGATTGTACATCTATGAAAGATCCTCTGAACCGTTCTTTGTCTCACCCTTCACCTAAGACCAATTTGTCATGGGAGACCCTACCAGGGGCACAAAGTGCCCCAGACAACCTAGCTCCTAGGATCATTAGGGCACTCAAACTCCTCCACCACGATAAGGTGGCGGTTCAAGGAGGAGAGGCCAATGTATGGGTCAAACCATCCTGGTCGCTCTGAAAACCCATGTAAGGCCCACTGAAATATTTGTGGGCAAACCCCTGTGGGGCCACCAAGGAACCTGCAGACAAACCTTGTTGGGACCCAAACTTGTGTCCCAACAAGGTTTGTCTACAGGGTTTGCCCATATATATCCACATAAGGCCCACCTATGCATGCTGGCTGGGGCTGACAGTTTAATGGAATTAACCTGCATCTGTATGTCGTCTATAGTGTCCGCTTGTGTTGAAGCCTGTTTCCCAGGAGAACCATCGATAAGCTCATCTATTGGCTCTGCTGATACTTGCTAACGTGTGATTGGCCGTTCCTGGCACCTGTGTACTTGACAGTTCTGCATTCCTGACATTGCATAAAAGAGCCTCTAGGCTGTAGTTTGATATGTGTACTTCCAACATCTAAAGTCAAAACTGCGTCCATGCGCAGGCATAATGGTTATCTCTGACCTTCACTAGAAATTAATACATGTATAAAATAAATACATGCACACACATGCAAAAACATTGTGAGGTCAAAATTAATTATAGTTTATTTCATCCAAGTTATAATGTGATGTAAACAGGTAATTATATTAAATCTGCACACACTGCATTTACTGCATTGCTAAGTTTGTAAGTGGTAGTGGTCATTATGATTTTATGACTTTATGATTTGTTTTTAATCTATGTGAATCACGTTGTGATTCTCTGTCTGTGAAGAAGAAGAAGAAGAAGAAGAAGAAGAAGAAGAAGAAGAAGAAGAAGAAGAAGAAGAAGAAGAAAGTATCATTTGTATAGCGCCTCTCAAGATAAAAATCATGAGGCGCTTCACAAAAACAAAAAATGTAAAAATACGAAAAATAATTTAGAAAATGGTTAAAAATATATTTAAAAAGAGCAAAAAAACTGACAATTGTGATTTATAAAAAATATGTTAAGAAAGTGAGAGAGTGAATAGGGAAGAGGGAAATCAGTGGATCCTGATGAAGGTGAGATAGGTGGGGAGAGCAGAATAAAGAGAGAGTGGTGAAGAAGGTCATACAAAAGCCAGCTTGAACAAGTGAGTCTTCAGCTGCTTTTTAAAGGAGACCACTGAGTCCACTGATCTCAGGCTCAGGGGGAGAGAGGTCCAGAGTCTGGGGGCCACAGCAGCAAATGATCTGTCACCTTTGGTCTTTAACCTGGTGCTGCACAACCAGTAGGCTGGACCTCAGGGACCTGCTGGGGGTGTAGGGACTAAGAAGATCACCAATGTAAGATGGTGCTTGTCCATGTAAGGCCCTATAGACCAGAACCAGGATCTTGAAATGAACCCTGAAGTTGACTGGCAGCCAGTGAAGCTGGAGGAGAAGCGGGGTGATGTGGGTGTGTTTGGAGGACTTGGTCAGAAGCCGAGCACAGGCATTCTGAACCACCTGTAGACGGTTCAGGGAGGTTCTGCTCAGACACGTGAAAAGAGAGTTACAGTAGTCTAAGTGTGAGGAGATGAAGGTGTGGAGAACTGTCTCAGGTTCAGAGTGAGACAGAATGGGGCTCAGCTTAGCAATGTTCCTGAGATGGAAGAAGGAAGAGCGAACAAGAGAACTGACATGAGAATCCAGGGTGAGAGCTGGGTCAAAGGTCACGCCAAGATTCCTGACGGAAGTGCTATAAAAATAAAATGTACTTACAGTGGGTACAGATAGTACTCAGACCCCCATCAGTTTTTCATGCTTTGTTATAGTGCAGCTATTTGCTAAAATCAATTAAATTCATTTTTCCCTTATTAATGTACACAGAAGATGTTTCGCTTCTCATTGTAGTCACTTTACTGAGTTGAGTGTACATGTTTTATTAGTAATAATTATTTTTTTGTGTGGTTGAATATTTGTGATCTCATAGGCTTAAATTATGATCCAAACACCAAAATGTTTATAGTAGAGTCACAAAAGATTAATTTATAACCAGACAGCTCACTAAAAATAACTGGGAAATGAGAAGTATGTCAGTGTTTTCTGTCAGAAAAGCTTGCAGCTGAAGAACAGAACTTCAGCTAATTACACCTTGTGTGTTTGAGTTGTTGTTGGAGCGTTTCCAGGGCTGCAGCACTCTGAAAATTACACATTAAACTGTGAATTGTGCCCAGATGACTAATGAGCCCATTTTACATTTATTCAGTGGTTTCCTGTTGGGAGAAAATCCAATCACAGATAGTTAAGAACCAAATCTCAAAGATGAATCACCCACAATGCGACGTGTCCTCGAATCAAGTTCCATTTTTGGTTCTTTTTAAAACACAGGAAAGGTCTTTCTTTACCATGCTAACATTTCGTTTGCCGATCGCAAAA